ATGATGCAACAGTTTAGGTCCTGACCTTTGGTCTTTCCTAGTTCTTGGACTTATGTAACACATATTTGGTTGCTTTCTGTCTGTTGAGTTTTGTTCTTTGTGCCCCTGACAGCATAAGTTTAGGTTCTTCATTGCTGGATCACGTTCTATGACCACATTGTGTTGAATCTTTTCCACCTTTCTTTGCATTATATCCGAATGGGGTTCTTGGGGTAAATAAATGCGCTTGCATTCCTGTTAGGTATGCTTTGGACGAAGTTTGTTTCCATCAAGGCTGTTCCACTTTGTCTGGACTGTAGGCTTTAAAGTGTGCCGCAGTGTTAAGAATATTCCTCTTTGGCTTGAGGCTATTGAGAAGCAAAGGTTGCCGGTTGGGAACGGCATTGGATCCCCCACATGCCATTTCAGGGTCCTGAAACAGCGCTTATTGGCTGCAGCCTTTTTTTATTTTCCTGATTTGCTAGTTTTGTGGTTTGTGGCCCTATTCTGTCTAACTTCCGGCCAGCGCGGTTGCGCAGATTGTTCGTCGCAGAAGATAACTCTTCTCTCGTTTGTCTCGTTATGGGGAGAGACCTTCCACCAGGGAGGAAAGTCAATGTGAGCCTCATAACCACTCTTTTTTTTTGCAGAAACAAGCATGTGTAAAGAGAAATTGGTGCCTGTTTCATGCTTTGTATACATCAAGTATTTATTAAAATATATTTTTCTCAAAGGTACTTCAAAGAGAGCATTTAACATGAGTGAAGGAAGTAACTATGATATAATGTAGTCATTTAAAACAAAAGCAGAAATTGTTAAAAGAAAGCAATGCACTAGTTCACCTAATTGAAAAAAGTACATGTTTTGTCCCTTTAACTTTGAGACTGAGTTCTGAGTTGTCATCCCTCAGAGCTTGGGTGGATGCAAGCTTGTTCAGGGGCTTGGAATATTTACTCGGCGGTCTCCAATTACCATAATGCCCTTTCTGGGTAATGACTCCTTTCTTGTAGGCATTTCATTTCTCTAATGGTTGCCGGATGTTGCTCCACTTAGCACAGGATTGCTAACTTTTCATACCTGGTCCTCTTGCATACCCATTCGTGTTGACTGGTCACTGTGGGGTGACCAGTCAACACAGGTGTGCAAGCCTGCGGTGACTGGTTATGGAATGTGGGTACACAGACCTCTAGTGTATTTGCAAATTCATTGCATATTTTGCAGCTCCTGGGTACAGTTGTTACATTACATAATAATTTGCATAAATGTAAAAGGAGCCCAGCTTTTTTTCTTTAATTTTTTTCTTGCTCTTTATTGTTACTTGCAGTTTTCATCTTTTCCTTTTGGGAGGAGGCACTCGGGTGGTGCAGGTCATAATAGCTACAGCCGAAAGCCTGTGCCGCAGATCCTAGCCTCGATCCCTGCCCGTTTTGACGTGACCGAGCATCATGCTGGCGTCATGTCGCCTTTACTGCATGGGGCCATTATGGTCCAGGGGAGTAAGGACAGGAGTGGAGAACGGCAAATCGTAAGCACCGACATCGGTAGTCTCGAGAGAGAGAGTGGATAAGGAAGGCAGAGGCACACTTTGGCGTGCTCATTTTACCTCGATACATTGAATTGTTTCAGTTGCTTTTAAACTTTAGTTTTTTCATGCACAATGCACAACGCCACTTGTTTCTTGCAAAATAAAGGTAGGAAAGGCTAGGAACCGACCCTGCAAGGACTATATTGCTGGTTCTGCGTTTTTTTAAAGTTTGGTCGGCTGTCTGGGGCCATTCAGACCACCAATGTCTTCCTTTGTGCTACGGCATTTCGAGGCTGTAAAAATGCATATGATGGTGGACCTTTTCTAGATTTATTAGATAAACTTTGTAGTCTAGTCGTAATGCACCGCCTAATTTACCCAGCCACTGCAGGGTAATTTGGGCGACTAAATTACTCGGCACCGCCTACATTACCCAGCCACTGTGGGTAATTTAGACGACTAACCTTCCATTATTTTTGCGTCCACACAATAAATATGATGTAATCATACCGAATGTTTTTCAGCATCAAACTTGCTTTACTAGTAGTCGGATGAGCAAAACATGATCGTATGCTTTCTGGCGCCATGCACAAGCTAAAATAGGGGGAAGGGTACAAACACCAGCAGTTTGTCTAGGCACTGTACATATGTTACCCACAAAACTAAAGCGACCCCAACTTCTGCATCTGCTTGCAAGCAGGCATTCACTCAAGGACATTGCAAAAATCAACACAGCAGTATGCAAAAAAAAAAAAAGGCACATTTATTATAGGTTTTTTGGAGAAAACCCGGCAACAGTGTGTCTCGGCACGGTAACCATGGCAACAGCGAGGCGGTCAGCAGCTGCGCGACATGGTGAAGGAAAGCAGAGCGCAACCTCGCTGTGCGGTAACCGAACTTTAGGCACTTCATGTGTTGTTTTAAGGACAGTTTACGCGTTCCAGAGTATCAGTGAAGATGCCAACACAGTGCTGTGTCCCGGTCTGCACGCAATATGGATACACTGACAAGTTCGGACGGAAGGGAGTACTTATATATACCTATCAGATTGTCCGCTGCCACGATCGTTTGGCTAACCTCGCGAATTCGCATGCATTTGCTTAATGAGGATAATATATTGGTTCTGCATTATACTGCTTTGCGTTTTCTTTACTATTGCTGTTAGCCAGGTATATGTTTGACGCAGATAAAGGAGCGTCGGTTTCACCCGACGGATCCGTCGCCTTTCGGCCAGCCTCACAATTTGCATGCAGTTGCTTCATACACTATGTTGTTGTTTCATTGCACATTTATTTGGTGTTGCTCGGTAGACAGATTGCATCGGCGAGGCTAAACGAGCAGTCGAATTCCTGTCTCAGTCCTCCAAACATTTTCTACACTTTAACAATAAACACGCGAAAAAACAAAATAAAAAAAGGCTTTACTTTGCAGGCTCGTTTTTTTTATTTTTTATCTTCTTTTGTTACTGAGGCATCCACTAACACCATTTTACTTTGTTTTCCCTGCAGAATTGGGACAGCACCACATTAGGTTCCCCTTGAGGGCATCCTTTTATGCAAGTTTAGTGGGGACTTGCAGACACATCATGATTTAATTATATTTGTTATGATTTGTCATCATCTCACCATTCATGTTTTCAGGTTTCATACCTAGCAAGCTAGCTAGGAAGGCTATTTTCCCAGCTGGCGGCAGGAAACAGCCGCGATACTTCATTTGCCATGCCACTTTTTCACGCAGAGCCAGCGGGCCGAAGAAAAAAACATTCCTTCACCATGGAGAGCGCGCACACTGTTGCACGAGGCGCACAGAGTTGTCACACTTTTGAAAGGGGTCTATTGCTTGTTTGACATTTTCTTAGGGTTATCATTGGCCAAAAGTTGCAATTTTACATTCGCTTATAAGCAAGCTTTACGCTCAAAAACTTGCTGCCACCGCAATTTTATGTAAGAAATTCTACATGCAACGGACCTTTTTAAAAATCTCAGTGAACGACATTGTCAGTCGCCATTTCTCGGGTGCGAGGCGCGTGTTTCCGAGTTCTCGCCAAACGCCAATGCAGCACTCATTCTCTGTACAAGCTGAGCACTCCTGTCCTATACACCTTTTCAAGAAACACTCAACCCCAGGGGCAGCAAACTGTTTTCGAGCCCAGTCACTGGGTTTGAGGCTAGACCCTCTCCAGCGTCCCTGCTAACCCTAACCGAGTGGACTGATTTCGATAGGCGCAGCCTGCGTAGGCGCAGTTTCAAACACTGCTGGCGGCTAAATTCTCGTCTTATCCCACTAGATTTTGTGTTTCATGGTGCATGTATTTTCTTGAACTCACTGAGAAAGCATTGTACCACATTTGAAAAAAAGAAAAAGCAATAAAAAACCTATAAACTATTTTTGCTGGGTACGTGCGCGACAGAATGAATGCGACTGGAATGTATAGTTCTAGTTTTTTGTGTTTTTTTTTATGCTCAGTTTTTACAGCGCCGCGCGATTTGCTGCATGTGAAATGACAAAATGTTTAGCTGTGAAAAATAAATTACAACAGAAGAGAGCCGAAAGGCATGCATTTTTCACGCTCACAAATAACATGTTTACCGATGGACAGGGCACGGACAAACAATTTAGAAAGCGTTAACATTCAAACAATATATTGTACCTACCACACAATGCAGCGTTATCTGAAAAGGATTTGTTTGAGAAAGATCTCAAATAACACAGTCACAGTCAATGACAGTCACATCTTGACGATCGGACGGAATCCAAGATGATTTCGTTTTAGGGCACGCTTGGGGAGAGGTTCCTTTTTTCACAACAGCACCAAGCAAAGGAACGAACGCGACTGACCCGTTCTCCACCCCAACCCGGACAATTTTTTTTGGAGATGACTGAGGACTGTGCGCGGATTATCCTTGGGAGGGGGGAGAACAATGTTCGCAAAATCACGCGAGGGTCGTTCAACGTCCTTCACCTCCTTTGTTTCCCGTGAATGTTGAGCGGAAAAGGTTGAATGACAGGCTTTTACGAGCCTTATTTCTCACAATGGAAGATAACACAAAAAGGGCACACCACACGCATAAAAATAATTAAGTAGAAACTTTCAAGAGGGGCGAGAAAACTTTGAATGCAAAACCGCAAAACATAGGTAGAGAACCGCGCTGAGTGGGTCTTCACAGTCCAAGAGAGTGGCAGAAACTTTCCAGCTGATAGAGGGTGCGAGAGTCGCACCAGCCGCATCAGCATCAGCAACATGGCGGTGGCCTAGGAGTGGTTTTTTTTGGAAAGGTGTATACATGCTCAGGGTATAGGCGCAGCAGCTACTGGCGGCAAGTACTTTTATAAGGGTCTGCTTGATGGTGGCTACATTGCCCCGTTTACTGCTTGCGTAGCTCCGTTGCTTCTGGTAGGAATCTGGGCTTAGTCGTAGCACTTCCCGTTCTAATGAACTCCAGCCAAAGAGAGTGAGTCATGTCATCCAGCTGACAGATGTGTGTGCACCTTTCAGCCCGTTGGCCGCTGGCTGCACATCCTGCCGGAGAATGTGGACAAGATGCCCGAGAGCGCTTGGAAGCTGCTCTACTACTCCTCCTTGTGGATATACACAATCTACGTGGTCATCCTCAAGGGCAAGTACCGCTTCTTCCAGCAGCCAAGCACGGTCTGGGACGGTGAGTATGCCGCATTCCTTGCTCTCCCCCTTCCTTCGGTTTGGCGCGGCACCACGTGTTTTACTAGGGGAATACTGGGCACCCTCGTTGTTTGCGGAAGACTGAACTGTTAGAGGGATGCCAGATTGAGAGGTGGCACCAGCTTTCGCTACGGAAACCTGTCGTGTACAGGGCCCTTCTGTTCGGGTGGTGTGCACAGTATAGCCAATGATCTGTTCTTCTCTGGCATCAAAATATACGAAACATGGTGATTATTACTACTTTTCCTGGAATATTAACATCTTTGACAGATATTTATGTCCATTTGGGTGAAACTATGGTAATAAAAATAAATGCTCCCACCAAATCCCCAAAAAAGTGCTTTGGTTGGAGTATTTCCTTTTTTATTACTGTACCACTTTTCATGAATATGAAAGCTCCAAAGTCTCTAGATTCTCTTCTCATTCACCAATGCCTCAAGAGCATGTGCATTCGTACAGTGTCCAGTATTCATCCCAAGAAATGTGTTTGGCGGCACAGGAGAGAGACTGTACATGACATTGACTTTGCCCAAATGATAACTCATGGGGTGAATAATTTTGTTGGCTTTTAGAGCTTCCCCCCTTTCCAGCAACTGTTTGCACTGTCCAGGAACAATTCACTATTTTCCGTCACTAAGGGACACTGTCGTTCAACCATTTCATACCCTTTCCATCTGCCAGCTTTGTTTGCTGAAGAGCCAATTAGAGCAGTTGCGAGGATTGCAGCTGCACTGACTGTTGCAGTTATTCCAGCTACCTAGCGCTGAGAAAGCACTTGCACCTGAGGAATGGTGATCATGTATCAGTTTTGTATATGCATACTACAGAAGCTATAAGGAAGAAAAAAAGCAAAGCTCATACTCTTTTTCCTTCTCAACTGCTACGTTTCTGCTCCCATGAATCAGTGACAGTTTGGCAACATGTGGGTCTCTTTTAATAAGGAATCCACCAATAAAAGGGGTTATTCCTTGAGGATGTATGATCCCATAAGAAAGTCTTACTGGAGGCGGAACAAAAAGCATGCTATATAGGACAGGTTTTGAGGTCGGGGAAATATAAAAAGAGTGAAAAAAAAAAAAACCCTTTGTTGCTCCTGCCTTGAGGGCACCACAGACATAAAGTCGAGAATACAATAAATGAATAGGATCCAAGGATCAAGTGAAATTTCATAAAAAAGCCAATGGGTAACAGAAATAAAAAATGGGCCGCAGCCAACAAAACAGCCCAGGGGAAACCTATGGGAAGAGGGGACCCCGCAGGGTCTGAAGCCAGCCCAGCCCCGCGAGAATGCACAAGAGGGCGACACTTGTGGGTCAACGATGGTCACAGGGCAACAAATGAGCCAAGCAACCACCGCCGCAACAATATTTGATTTTCCCCCCTTCCCGGGGAGGGGTGAGGGGGGGGGGGGTAATGGGGACCCCCCCCTCCTGGGGGTGTAGCTACATAGGACAATAGAACCTTGCAACCCCCAGCTAATAAAATGTCCACTAAATATTTCGAAAAGTACCTCTGTGTACCTTCACGTCTTAGTAGAATACGTTGTTGGGCTAGTTGGTTCATCTTAGTAAAACATATAAAATAGTGGAACAGAAAGACAAGGGCAAAAAGTATACAGGACATGCGCTAACTTTCAACTAGTTCTATTCAGGAAAATTGAACACATATATATACACACGACAGGCAAAGCAGCACCACATAAAAGTTGATTAATTTTTCACCCGATCACTCAAAAACTGAAATTCATTACAATGAAGAACAATAGAAGTGTCGCTGACACATGCCGTCCCACTTTTTTTGATAAAGAAAGCTTCCAATAGCTTTAGAGCGACCGTCTCTCGGCTTCTTCCTAGTATCCGTATCTGTTGAAGTCGCGGAACACAGCCACACGTGTTGCAATGTATTGGCAAATGCGAGCCATATTTATTTTTACTGATAATGCGTGCTCCCGTGCTCGGTCATTGATGCACCGCCCCGTCTGGCCAATGTATACCTTTCAACAACTCAGTGGGATTTTGTAGACCACACCCACTGTGCAGTCCACGTAAGGGGTGACGTGTTTCTTATCACACGGTGCTTTTGCCTTCTCATCAGAGATGCGGGCGTACAACCCAGCCAACTTCTTTGGGGCAGAGAATACAACGGGAACATCATACTTGCTTGCAACTTTCTTCAGATTGTGGGCAACCTTGTGGATGTACGTAATGACTCCTGGTCTTTTTGTTCTCTGCCTCTTTGGGACCTTTCTTTTCAACCCCTTCATTTTTTGTAGGGCGGTCTCCGCCACAGAAACCAAGACCGAACACGGGAAGCGAGCCAATTCTAGTCTAGAAATTTGATATTTAAAACTAGCATCCGCCTGATGGTCACAAGACTTCAGTAGTGCAGACTCCAGGCACGAAGTTGCAATAGCTCTCTTAACAGTCTTTGAATGAGCTGAATCAAAAGGAAGTAACTCTTTCCGCGCGTGCGAGGTCGATACATCCAGCACACACGTCGTTCATTGATGGTGATGTTAATATCTAAGAACTGCAAATGATTGTTGTCAGGAAGCTCATGAGTACAGTGATGTGATTGCTGCACCAATTGCGCCAAACTGCGCCAAGGGGCTAACCGTGCTACATCCTGCTACATTTTGCCAAAATATGGGTAAACTGCGCCAAGCCTGCGCCAAAGGACCAATTTCGGTCGCCTTTCAAAACCGAAACTAAACTGAGTACCGTGATTGAGCACGCGTGAGGTAGGTGGCGCAAGGGGCCGCCCGACACAAAGTACCCTGCATCAATCGTTCATCCGGTCCGCCCCCCCCCCCCTTGCATGGTTTTTCCTACAGTCTCTCGTTCCGCGCTCTCGCAACTCGTTGTCTCGCTTTTTTTTTTCTTTTTAAGGATAGGCGCGGGAGTTACTTTGTGAGCTGAAGCACTCTTTCCTGAAAGGAACGGCATTGGGAAAGCTATATTTGGTCCCTGCCTGCCAGTCGCCGTGGTCGCGCGACGTCGGTTGTTACCGTCCCCACATCACTGCAGATACGGCGCTTTCTAAACTGAAACGTAAGGTCCGCCCTAATGTTCATCAACATTCCTGTTCTTGTTTAATACACTGCTACAAAAATTCATCTACCTCAAAGACTGCTGTGTAAAAGTATTGATTACTTAGGTTTATCTCGGTAGGCTTTCTTTCGAGAGGGACCCCGGTGTGTGAAAAAATCTGCCGCGAAAGACAGTTGGTGGAGGGAAGTGAGCTAAAGCAAGAAAGGCAATGTCTGCACGCTGAACCTGCACAGCGAGCTTGCTTTTCTCGAGTTCAGTCCTTGCACAAAGTGCTCCAAGAACACTCGAGATGTCTTGCATCGGTGTGCTTAGGTTCTTTTTTTTTTCTGTGTGTATAGACCTTTTCACCCTCCGCCGCATGGGCGCTGCCATCTTGGAATCATGTGATGCGGCCGCCATTAGGTTGCTTCAACTTGTTGCTCCGCTCTCCCGTCCGCGCCTTGGCGGATGCGTTGAATTCGTGTTTTTCGTCGCGTTTCACCGCGTCTCTTGCAAGTTGCCTTACTCCGTAAAGTGTCCTCCATGCAATTGCATTACATCATTATGCGCACAACTTCTGTAGTTGATTTTGTAACACGTTTTGAATATTTTTTACCGTCGGCGTGCGGGATACGTGTGAAAAGGTTTTAGAGGAACAGGAATCAGCGTTAGCACTTGCGCACATTGAATATCGAGAGTTCAAAAACCAATAACTTATGAGAACTTAGGTTTGATTACTAATAAGGGCGGAACATTTGCAATAGGAAACCTAATGTTTTTATATATATGAGTGCGCTTTGGTGTCAAGGAAGGAAAGAAAAACACTCAGCGTAATTAGCCACGTGTTTTTCCTGAAAACATGGTGTTTTGTAGTTCCAACAGATCGAAAACAGTTTCTTTTGATTACACCAGGGAACTTGTGAACAAGGCGCGCGGGAACAAAAATTTAGTTTGAATTATTTTTTATGCTAGGAACAATGGTACCTTAACATTAGGCAACATGTTTGTTCGCAATATCACACCTATATCTGTTTTACGTTCTTAATCGCGTGTGTGATATGAGCATTCGCTTCATCGGTTTATTTAGGAATTCCACGGAATTGTATATCGTGCTTGGTCCCATGTCTATAGTGTTTCAGTTGCTTGAGTCATTTTTAATAGAACCATGCAGTTTCAATTAATTTATTTCAACACAAATATTTGAACTTCCCGCGTAAGAAACTGTCACAGACAGCTTGATAGTGCCTATGATTCACAAAATGGGGCGCCGAAAAGAATCCTTCTGCATAAAAATCACCCGAGTGCAGCCGGTTGTCGACGGCGAATAGGGATTTACTTTCAGTAGCTGGCGACGTCAAAATGTGCAAAGCGCATCGCTTCAAATCAGTGAACAGCTTTCCACACAGGTCCTTGTCTACGTGATTATATGAAACTTTTCTAGTCATTATAAAATGTGTTTCGAGTTGAAGTTAGAAAAGGTTGGTGTACGGAAACCAAACATCGAACAGTAAACTTGTCAGTTCATCTGTTCTTGGTGATTCAGCATATTGTTAATCATGTTGTCGACCTGCTTTTCACTAAGCACTCATGCAATATAGTCTGTTGCAATATAAGATGATCAGTTCAATATCTGACTTGAGCGCGAGCTATCTACCTTGCGTACCGCTCGGTGCACGCACAGCCAAAGCACGGCGGCAGGCAACGAGCGCACGCTGCAGGCGGAGTTTGTCCTGCTCTTTACTTTTTTTTTTTCTTCTTAAAATTAGTGTCCGCGGGTACGGCCGTGGTCAATGGTGCTCCTCCCTGTGCATCAGCGCAGTTGTTTCACCGCCGAACCTGGCCGAAATTAACGATGGAGGGAATCAGACGCATATGGTGTTCATAAAAAAAAGATCGCAATTTAGGCTCGAAACCACTTTGTGGTTTGCCAAGTGGCTCAATACTATTGTTTCATTCGCTGTGTGCTGCTAGAAAGAAATTCATTTCGCGAAATTAATCGAAAGTGGCATGAAACAGCATCACAATCGCTTGCACGTTGAAACCGAAACCGACCAAATTGAAGCAACCTAATGGCGGCGAGTGCGCCAGCGCCCTCTACCCGCCGGTCAGGCAACTACTGAAATGAAAAGGTCTATAGCTTTTGACCTCACCTGCCGGCCTGGCGAGCCCGTGACGCTGAACTTTTTTTTTTTTTTTTTTCGTATGCTGGACAGTTTTATTTTCCCGACAATTTTGGGAACCAGTTGGCGACGGAGCAGAGTGGCATGGTTTTGATCGAACAGCCGTCTCCGCTCGCGCGACAATTTCGCATTGCACTGCAGTAACGTGTTTCATCAGTTAGAGATTGCTTTCATTTATTATATCACTAGGCAACCTAATGCTGCGCTATTTACTGCTAAGCGGTTCAATTTTAAATAAATTTTATTATGTGCAGTTTGGTTCTTATTTACTTATAGCGGATACATATACAGGGTGTCGCAAAAAAAACAAAAAAACTCGGTGTTTTTTTACCGCAAAATTAAACTAGGCATCGCTGAACGCTCATTCTCCGCCCAAAGGTAGCGCTAGAGGTCACAACCAGCTGCCCAAGTTTCATCCCGATCCGATAACTTGATCAAAATTTAAAAGTGATTTTCTGAAACTTTCAATGGGAAAATGGCGGCCGACGGAGTTTTCGAGTACATGGGGCTCTATGGCACCAGAAACCGAAAACGGGCAGAAATGGGCTCCTTTGTCCCATTGAAATTTTCAGACATTCACCTATAACTTTTGAATAAAATATCGGGTCGGGCTGAAACTTTGGCCTCAGATTGTGACCTCTAGCGCTACCTTCGGGCGGAGAATGAGCGTTCGGCGATGTCTAGTTTATTTCTGTGGTGAAAAAACCCTGTAAATGTTTTTGTGACACCCTGTATATGTATCATTTAACTGAAGCATTGTAAAATGTGTCATGTCATAGGCATTTCAGTTAACATGTTGAAAGACTCCCAGGTGGTCTAACTTGACTATGAAGTGTCCTTCGTTTGTCCGGCACTTAAAACAAATATTTTTATTTTTCTAAAAATATCTGCTCCAAAAGCTACTTTTGCTGCTCCAAAAGCCATTTTTGTTGCTCTAAAACACTGCCTTGGCTGCTCCAAAGGCCGCTTTCCCTGCTCCAACACATTGTTTTGGCTGCTCCAAGAGGTGCTCCAAAACGGCTTAGCCCAATCACATCACTGTGAGTAAAAAGTAAACCTTTCCCATGTTGTTTAAAAGCTGACAGAATACTTTTTACTGTATCACAGTGCGTCACAGAGGTGTTAGTTTTTAAAAGTACAAGAAAATAGTCCACATATCTAAAAACCTTTAGAACATTATCGGCGTTTAAAACACGATTCAATTCGCGATCAACAGCGGACAAAAAAATTTTACAAATCACCGGAGCGATGCATGACCCAATACAAATGCCCTTGCACTGGATAAACAGCTTGTCATCGAACGACACAAACTTGCTACTCAGATAAAATTCCAGTAATGCCACGAAGCTGTCCAGAGGAATAACAGAAGCATTCTGGAAAGCCACCACGCCACTTGCTTCGATACACCCGATGACAGTGCGGTACATTTCTTCATGCGGCACTGAATAAAACAAATCCTCTACATCAATAGAAAAAGCGTAACCAACAGAATTTATGAAATTTCACTTTCTTTATCAAAAAAAGTGGGACAGCATGTGTCAGCGACACTTCTATCGTTCTTCATTGTAATGAATTTCAGTTTTTGAGTGATCGGGTAAAATTAATCAACTTTTACGTGGTGCTGCTTTGCCTGTCGTGTGTATATATGTGTTCAATTTTTCTGAATAAAACTAGTTGAAAGTTAGCGCCTGTCCTGTATACTTCTTGTCCTTGTCTTTCTGTTGCGCTATTTAAATGTTTTACTTCACGTCTTAGTTAATGCTCTTTTCTAGAAGTGTTGGAGCATTTATTTCAGGCACCTATCATGCCCTCTCTTCCAATGCCAATATTTATTATTACACCACTGTTCTTTTGGCAATGAGAATTCATTGCTTATATGTGCATGTGTATTTTCACCTTGTTTTTGTATGCAGTTGTGTGCTCTCAAAGAGCACACAGCTGCATAACAAAGAGCTTTCAAATACAAAGTAACTCACAATATGTGTACATTCCACCACAATAACTTCTTTGATAGTGCCTTTCTTTGTTTTGTTGGGTCAGCAGTTTTCTAGTTGTATGCTGAAATTGCAGATCATGCTCAACTACAAAAGAATTATATTTACATATTAGAAAATATTTGCCGGGTCACTCGACGTCGAAATGGCTCACTTGTAGGAGAGCATCACTTGTCATGCGAGATGGGCCGTTCCTGTCTTTTTCTTGCGTCAGTTGTCTTTTTCTTTCTATTACTCCAACTGGTCCTATAACGCTAGAAACCAGCAGTCCAGGGGATGAGGGTGACTGTGACGCAATGGGTGCCCCCCTCCCCCGTCGCAGGCTGGAGCACGCAGATGGTGGTCCCATCGGACATCTACTGGATCTATGCAATCCAGTCGAGCTACTACGTGCACGGCATGTATGCCGTCGTCTACCAGGACATTTGGAGGAAGGACTCGGTGGTGATGCTGCTCCACCACACCCTCACCCTTGTGCTGCTCTGGATGTCCTATGTATTCAGGTGAGTCCTCCTGCCGCCACGGACGCCGAGTGGGTGGTCCTCTCGAGAGGATTTTTTGTAAAACTATCCCTTCTGTGATACTTAGCATTTGCAAAGGACAGGTGTTGGTTTGTGTTTCAGAGATTATGGTTTCGCAAAAAGAGCACATCTGAAGCTCACACCTAACTGCCTTGTTTTGTAACAAAAGAGAGGAGAAAAGGATAGCTTCCTGACGGTGGGCCACAACAATCACTACGAGCCACCGGAGCCGATGCGTTGTTTGGAACGTGCAGGTAGGTGCAGCAAGCAGACAGACAACAGGGTGCGTTGTCTGCTTGCTGTGCCTATTGGGAGGTGGCGCCACAAGTTACATTAATCGCTGACTCGTCTGCAAACTCATCTGCCGCTTACTTTAAGTTTGTTGGTCTAATTTTTACAGAAAGAGGAAGAACAATGCTTTTTAAATTTTGCACGGTGAAGTCCACCACCTAAATCCACATCCAGTAAAACTTAAGCTTTCTATGTGGAGGCGCTGATTTTTCTGGTTCGTTTTATAGGGTAGAAAACACTGTGGCTGCCGTATAAACTTTTAAAAATCTAGCACAATTTGAAAAAAATTTACCGCATCTCCACGTGGTGAATGATGCTGATTGGGACGAAACTCTGGTGGTGCTTGTCTGCGTAGACGCTGAGCCGCAGCATGCCGAGCCCTTCGTTCGTTTTCATCCATGTCAGAAAGAGAATGTGTGGTATGGATGTGTGGTAGGACCGCAGCGCCCTCTAGTCTATAAACATTAGCCAATGCATGCAAAGTTTAACACAATTATATACGCATTTGACCGCAGCGCCCTCTCCTGTATAGACGTTGAGCGGCTACATGCAACGTTTCATCCATGACATCCCCAGCTCTTGAGTTACAACCACATCTCAGAGCCCCCTACTCGTCCCGCAGTCGTGGCCGAGTGGTTAAGACGATGGACTAGAAATGCATTGGGATCTCCCCGGACAGGTTCGAATCCTGTCGACTGCGCAAGCATTTTTTTTTGTTCTACACGAGCACGTGAGCTCACTAACACGAGCACCAGCAAGATCGATGTGAGCACGGACGCAGGACAGACAAGGCTAAACACAAAGGAACTTTGCCCCTAAAAAAAAATTTGTTAATGGCACTTGAGTGGTTTAGAATAATTTAAAGAGGGTATGAGCAGTTAATATTTTCCTGCTGAAACTGGACGATGCACGGACAATTCATTGATGACGTATGGGCCACTGCCAAAGGATGTATTTAGAGAGGTGTGTAGCATTTGGGATAGTTAAGTTTTTTAAGCGGAATGGTTTTATGGGCTAGTTTGAGTGTATAGCGTCGTTAAAGTCGCTATGAAACTGGTTGTCTTCCACCAAACTTTCGAGAAATTGCTTGAGAATTTGATTCAGATTGGGCATCAAACTGAAAGTTCCACATCCTTCCTTCATTACTAAGACTGCCTTAGAGTGAAATCTGAGGATTCCAAACATGTACAAGTTATTCAAAAAAGTAATTAAGTTAAGTTACTGAGTATTGGCCACGAAAGTAATTTGAGTAGAGTAGAAATTACTCAAATGGAAAGTAATTCAGAAAATTACTAATTACCGTAAAAAAGTAGCGAATTCCTTTGAAGTTACTTTGAAATTACTTTTATATGTTTTTTATGGTAAAAAGAAAGTACATAGGTTTTGATCCGTTAGCGAAATTGGGCTAGCCAAATATGGATTGGATTGTTTTTCAAAGAAATGCTTTAATAGCTGGTTCTGCTTTTGCGTGCCTAATTGTTTTTTACTTTTTTGTTTGTTTGGCCAATGATGTACTGCAAATATGTCATTTCTACTTTGAGGTTTATCACTGCGTGAGCTTGAGTTTCATACAGTGTTCGCTTGTTTACAATGTGCGTAAAGTGCATTTAAAAAGTACTTGAAGTAAAGCACAAAGTAAATTAGAGGTTATTCACTTCAAGTAAAGCAGAAAGTACACTGGGTGCAATGTACTTGAACTAAAGTACAAGGTAAATTAGAGGTTATGTACTTCAAGTAAAGCAGTAAGCACACTGGGTGCAATGTAGTTAAAGTAACTTACCATAAATACAATGTATTTCAAGGTGAAGTGCCGGTAGTTTTAACAGAATCTTTCATGATGCCCATTCATTCCGTATGCAGTGTTTTTTAACTGGTGCGCATCGCTTCGGAGGTAAGCGGAGGTGCATCAGTTTTTTACAGAAATGGCAGCAAATATAAAGTCAATCGCCACAGAGCAGTTAATTGTTTTACTCTCGCTGACGAGCTATTTGACACAATCAACTTATAAGCCATTTATTTGTGTCTGTCTTATAGCCGTCATTACTTCATTTAGAGAAATGACCAGATGACGTATTGAAAGAGCGCATTTTCACTCGACGATATGCCATTTTTGTGTTTTAAAATTCGGGGAACGTACATTGAAGTCGGGAGTTTTACTTCCTTCGGAAAGTTCAAGTACATGCCCAGAGATTGTACTTCAAATGAGGTACAAGTTTTCTAAACAGTAGTACTTTAAGTACTATGTATTTAGAGTACTTCCCAACAGTGCTTGTTTATTATTTCTTATATAAAAACGTTGGGGGAATGATTAAGGTTTCTCAAACAATCTTCAATGATTTGAAGATCGTTCTATGTTCTATGTCTTGGGAGGAAAGGCAACGCAAAAAGGTCCCCTTTGCGTTGCCCTTTAGCACGCGATTCTTCGAGCACAGCACAAACTTCGGGAGCACCAGATGAACTTCAGAGCAGGTGCTGCATTTTGTTGCCCCCTTTGAGTGAGGATGCAGTGTGTGCACCCCCTGTAGTGGGTGAGAGTTTCCACGTTGGGGAGAAGCGGGAACCAGCCCTTTCTTCGAATGGGTCAAGTCTCCTTGAGCTTCGGGACACAAAGAAACACAAGTCTTCGGCGTTAATCCCGCAGTTACTCGGCCTCTCTTGCGTCGTGCCTGTTCGCTCCCCGCGCTTCGTGGCAGTGTTGTTGTAGAGGGGGGGGGGGGGGGGGGGGGGGGGGGGGGGGGCTCGGGAAATTTTGGGGGCTTCGGACTGTCCAACCCATTTTCTTCCTCCACCCTTTCCTACGCCACATGCTCCCCCTCTTTTCAATTATCAGCTGATCCTCCAATATCTTATCTCCTTTGCACAGGAATGTTTGTTGATAGGCAAATCAAGCGCTAAAATTCGAAAGTTATTTGTAATTTGAGTAGAAGTTACTCGTAAAATGTAATTAAAGTAAACTACTAACTACCCAAAAAAAGATGTAATTGAAAGTTACTAAACTACTCAGAAAAGTAGTTAAACTACAGTAACTTGAGTAGAGTAGTTGAACTACGTACAAGTCTGGAGGATTCTGTGATGCCTCTTCATTCATACACTGCAAAAAAACTCCCAAACATTTTCTTGTGCACACCCAGTATGCTACATCGCCGCCAATATTATGCTTGACCTGGACATACTGGGAACAATGCTGATTGAGTGGTATCAGTGAAAGTGCAATTTCTTGAATACACTGCTGGTGCTTAATCTATATTGGAGAGTCTCACAATTTGTTCTATTGTGAATGCTTCAGTGGAATTTCTAAACAATATTGTGTGTGCTTTCAATATTTTCAACCATAATTTTTTTCTATACCAATAAAGGCCAAACTCCATCAAGTGAATATGCGCTGAAAAACTGCCGTAGCTCGCCCAATGGCCCATTGTGTTGCTGCACAACAGCCATTGTGCTGACGCCAAGTGCACAGGGGACGGTGCCTGGCGAAATTGATCGCTTGTTGCTAGAGCATTCGTTCTTGGTTTCCAGCCTTAAAGTTTTCTCTGTAGACAGTTGCTTCCCAAAACCAAAAGCCAACTTGCTCCAAAACAATTTAAAAAGGAAGCCCCCATTTCGTCTAGGTTTGAAGTCACATGACATTTATTGATTAATGAATACTGCCTGTCTGTGCGTCTTGTTTCTGTATGGTGTGGCCCTTGCCCACTGTTGATTATTTGAATGGCAGGGACACAGGCGCATTTGCATTGCTTGCCAGCAGAGAAATTTCCTTGAGCCGAGTACTTGTCACAGCCGACTGCAGTGTTATGCGCAGTTCCTCTGGGTGTGAACGTGTGAAAATCAAAAGCGGTCTTCCCTTTGCGCATTTTTGCAATTGTCTGCAGCTAGGCTCTTTGTGCGTGCGAGATTTCTTTTTATATTTTATGCTTGTCTGATACTCAAAGGGACGGGTCTCAAAAGCAAAGCTATGCAAGTTGCTTTTGAGACCCTTGAATGGTTCCGCTAGCATAGCAGAAAATGGGCTGTAACTGGATTAGGGTGCTTTTCCTTAAAAACGGCAGCACGGCTCTGTGAACACGATTTGTGAAAACAGTTGTGTCACGTGATATGATCTCATAATGTTGATGACCTTACGGTGTTGGAGTGGCTTCCATGTTGCTTTTTCATGTTCGCATCTTTTTGTTGCTTTTTGAGTCTATCTTTTTGCCTGTCCTATAGCATGTTCTACTTTGGTAATAATTTGCGATAGGTCTAGCAGCATTTGGCACCTCTGTACGGGCGGACCATGCGGCCTTCGATAATTACGTCGGCAACCCGCAGGTCGCAGTGGTACACGTGTGAATCCGCACGATTGTATTGAGCAGCAGCTTACGCCACCGAGCCAATAATGACGACGGCAGTGAAAGACATAATGACTGCGAGCCTGTACCCCTGTCAGCTGGGTGGAACGAGCACTAAATTCCAGTTTTTTTTATTTTCGATGGTATGGGTAGGGTTTCGTGTTTTCAGAGTTTATTTTTTGTCAGATTCGAAGGGTGTTTTTCGCAGTTCCTTTTTTTTCCGAAAATTTGGAGTTGATAGGAGGTTATTTTTGTTAGATTCGCTATTCTTCGAAATTATGGGTTTAATTTCGCGGTGTGTCCTAGTTTTAAAAAAATAAATAATATCCGGGTGTAAACGTGCGCTGCATTCAAAAGAATGAG